GTCACATCAGCAGCATTAATTGTTGTTAAGGTAGGCACTCATTTCTAAGTCCCTGTACTTCGACCGTGTGAATTAGCCCACAGAGGAAATTTTTCTATACTTAAACATGTATTAAAATCCCTTGGGGCTATTTTTGAGTGAATATTCTGTACAAAATAAGCACTATTGGAAAAGCTAGGGGTTATGCTAGTCACCAGCAATTTTAGATATGAATATTAAAAATCAAACTATACTACATGCATCACAATTTTTAAGCAAAAAATTCAGTTATCCCCATGTTGTATGAAGCTATTAACAAAAAAAGAGACAGAGACAGAGATGAGTATTTTCTGTGTGCTATTGATCTTCAGGTTTTAAAAAAGCAGCTCATCACAGGATCCACCTCCAAGGAGGAATACTCTGCTCTGGTCCGGACCTGCAGGGAGTGAACCAGGGAAGCCAAGGCTGCAACGGAACTCCAGCTAGCTACAAATATCAAGGACAATAAAAAGTCCTTTTTTAGATATGTGGGGAGCCGGAAGAAAAGCAAGGGAACATTGAACCCCTGCTAAACCAGATGGGACAACTGACAACCGATGGCCAGGAAAAAGCCAACTTGCTAAATGGGTACTTTGCGTTGATTTTTCACCAGTCCCAAGGGATGCCCCTGCCCATTACGGGACGGAAAGGCCCGGGTGAGGGAGATTCTTTACCCTCCATCAATGCTGACCTTGTGAAGGAACACCTTGAGAGGCTGGATACCTTCAAGTCAGCCGGCCCTGACAGCTTACACCCCAGAGTACTCAAGGAGCTGGCAAGCATCATAATTCAGCTCCTGGCACACATCTTCGAGAACTCCTGGTGCTCTGGTGAAGTGCCCAAAAACTGGAAGAAGGTCGATGTGGTGCCTATCTTCAAGAAAGGGAGGAAAATGGATTTGGCAAACTACAGGCCCATCCGCCTGACCTCTATCCTGGGGAAGGTCTTAGAAAAGATTATCAAAAGAGACCCTTCTTAACAGACTGGCCAATGGCAACATCCTAAGGGATAGCCAGCATGGGTTTGCTGCAGATAGGTCTTGCTTGACCAATCTTATTTCCTTTTACGATCAGGTGACCTATCACCTGGACAAGGGAGAGGAGACCCATATCATACATCTTGACTTTAAAAAAGCCTTCTATCTGGTATCCCATGATCACCTCTTAGCAAAACTGGCCAACTGAAGCCTCGGGTCCACCACAATCCACTGGCTGGGGAATTGGCTCTGTGGTCGGACCCAGAGGGTGGTGGTTGACAGAAGTCAATTGTTGTGGTGCTCTGTGAGCAGTGGGGTTCCCCAAGGCTCTGTCCTTGGACCTATATTATTTAACATCTTCATTAATGATGTGGACATTGGAGTCACAAGCAGACTGGCCAAGTTTGCTGATGACACCAAACTCTGGGGTAAAGCATCCACACCCGAGGACAGGTGGGCGATCCAGGCTGACCTTGACAGGCTCAGCAAAAGGGCGGATGAGAACCTGATGGTGTTTAACACTGAAAAATGCAAGGTTCTCCACCTTGGGAGGAAAAACCCGCAGCATGCTAATAGGTTTGGCAGTGCTACGCTGGCTAGCGCTACGAACGAAAGAGACTTGGGGGTCATGACTGACCACAAGATGAACATGAGCCATCAATGTGATGCTGCAGCTAGTGAAGTGAGCAAAATGCTGGCTTGCATCCATAGATGCTTCTTAAGCAAATCCCAGGATGTCATTCTCCTGTTGTACTCAGCCTTGGTGAGGCCGCAGCTGGAGTACTGCATCCAGTTTTGGGATCCACAATTCAAAAAGGATGTGGAGAAGCTTGAGAGAGTCCAGAGAAGAGCCACATCCATGATCAGAGGTCAGAAAAACAGACCTTATGAAGAGAGGCTGAGAGCCATGGGACTCTTCAGCCTGGAAAAGCACAGGCTCAGGGTGATCTGATGCCTGCCTGTTAGTTTATAAAGGGTGCTCACCAGGATCTGGGGGAACTTTTGTTCACCAGAGCACCCCAAGAGATGACAAGGTCAAATGGTCACAAACTCCTCCATGACCATTTCAGGCTGGACATAAGGAAGAACTTCTTTACTGTCCAAGCCCCCAAGGTCTGGAATAGCCTGCCACCGGAGGTGGTTCAAGCACCTACTTTGAACGCCTTCAAGAGAAATTTGAATGTTTATCTTGCTGGGATCCTATGACCCCTACTGACTTCCCACCCTTGGGCAGGGGGCTGGACTTGATCTTCTGAGGTCCCTTCCAACCCTAATGTCTATGAAATCACGGTATGTGCATGCCTTCTATGTAAAATCAACAGCAAAAAGTAATGGCCCTATTTAAATTCATGGAGTCTATGGCACATCTCTCCCTTGGTGAGGAGGTAAAAAAACAAACAAACCAAAAAACCTGTGCTTGAGGTTGGAATCTTTGAAAACTATACAGCTGTGGGCAATATGTTGGGCTCTCTCAGGATTTGGGCTCAGGGCTTCTGACACTAAGTAAAAGCACGCACTGTAAAGTTACCAAACATGCACTAGGCAATCTTTAAAAAAGTTCCATTGCTAATACTACCAATAAGAGCAAGCAAGTTATAGCAACAAAGGGGAGTCCTAGTGCAGGCAAGGCTCTGGAACCCTCAGGTTTCATTGATACAGCTTTAAAGAAAAAAAAACAAAAAAAAACCCCAGAAGCTGGTGGAAACATAGCCATGGGCCCACTTCTCACTTCACCTGCTACAACAGCATGAAGCAGGCCTCCCTCCCACAGCGCAGATGAGTCAACAAGATTAGCCAAAAGACACAAAAGATGTCTTAAGCAAGACAGGTAAGGCTTGTACTGTCATGTGGTAGGGTTGAAGGGTGGTGCAATCAATTGCAATTTTCCTGAAGGAGACTCAGCTTTCAAGAGCTTGTGCAACACTGCACAAGAATAGACCAGGTTGGAAAATAGAGGGGGAGGAATTCCAAGAATAACTAGTGTAATTCTTAATTCTCTTTCCAGCCCAGGTAGTGAGGCAAAAAAGTTGTGCTCTCAAAGAAGACAGGCTACAAAAAGTAGCAAGGAAAGGAAGATTGCTCATTTTAAAACAGAAGATGGTCTCAGCTCTAATTAAGTTTGCTTTTGCAAACTTTGTTTGCTTAATACTGAAAATGAAGGCCACAAATAGTCCCATGATGCCACTGCCAAAAAAGTGCCTTTTTTCTACAGGAGAAAAAAGTCTTTAACTGTCTTCTGCTCAGCTGAGTTAACAGAACAAATGGAAAAAAACGATTACACTGGAAAGATCTTTGCACTGGAAAATGCCAGAGGTTCTAAAAAGCTCAGGATCTATAAGAAACTGCCAAATGACTCAAACATGTTAGAGGCTGTAACTCTTTACAACTCTAGGTGAGGGAGGCAGGTGACTTGGGGAATGCACAAAGTGTACAAGGTTAAGCATTAATGTAGCAACCTGTGCAAGTCTGTACATTCATAATACCAGCATAAATCCACTATACTGTATACACCTTTTTGGGGAGCATAAGCTGAAAACCAAGGCTAGGGAGAGATGATGTTGGTGGGCAAGAGGAAGCATTTTGATGAGTTTGCAGATATGATGGAGTCAGCTCTGGTTGAAAGTACACATCCCCAAGTTGAACAGTTCAACCTATGATTCAGAAGTGCTTCTTGAATCCTTAACTGGATACTCAAGGCTGCTGCTATCTGATGTTAAATAATGCTTTATCACTATTTCTTATTGGCCAAGAGACTCCACCCCATCTCGATAAGATAGTGACCTAAGTGCACTTCTTTGACCTCATTTTCACTGATATAAAACCTTAGCAACAGACACATTAAAAAAAGCTCTACCAAAGCAAGACAAATCAACTATATGCTTCTCTTCCTGGATGAAGACTAGAGCAAACATAGAACATTGCCCAGTGCAGTACAGTGCTAGAAGGTGCTCAGATACTATGAAAATGAGCACATTACCAAAACCTGTGGAGAGCAACACGAGCTTGCTACTAGGTAATAAACTAAGTCCCAAACATTTTGTATAGTTTCTTTCCTCTGATTTCCTACTATTTTTTCCTTCTCTTTGAAGATGGGAAAGATTCAAAAGGGAAATGTGGAATAGTAGTAAAAGTACTGCACTTTTAGGATTTAGGAGATCTAGTTTATCTGACAGTTGCAGAGTCTTGATGCTTCACAAATCAATTGCTTACCCTTTGTTGCAGTTTCTCCACCCAGTAAGACTGGGATATTTACTACCAATCAGCTGGAAAACATGTATTTTTGCATGAATATTTGAGATAAAAGTGCCTGTTCAAAATTCTCATTGGGAAATTTTAAAAAGTATGGAAAAGTGCTTTTTTTACTCTCTCTGCCCTCCAATGGGAACAGTTAAGAATATAGAATGGAGTGGGAAATGGAAGAAAAAAGACAAGCGTTCTTTGGGTAAATGGGATATCTTTTATTAAACCAACTAAATAGTTGGAAAAATCATTGGAAGCTTCTTTGCAGCTTCTTTTCCAACTATTTAGTTGGTCTAATAAAAGATATCATATTTACCCAAAGAACCTTCTGCCTATGTCCTTCGACCAACACAGCTATAACCAACACCCCCAAAGTGGAAGAAAACACATTTTACTTTTAAAACTTAAAAAGTGCCACTGTTCAGAAAGCCACTTTTGATACTGTTACTGCTTCCCAACTGAGAAAACTGGATGGGAGGGCATAATGGGGAAGAAATAGGAGGAAACCGAGCAATTTCAAAACCACATATTTTAAAATTTGCAAAAAAAAGTCCTAAAAAGTAATTACCAAAATATTTTCAGTTAAACTGAAAAATAAAATAAAAATTAGAACGATTTACAAAGCCTTACTCTTCAATGAAAACAATCTCCCAAGAAGTTTTCCACTCACCCTGTTTTCCTCACTGGTGGGGTGGTAAGAACAGAGAGTACTCAGAGCGAGAGTACAGTTCATATTACAAGTTCCCAGTTGGATTTATAGACTTACCTTCGTCATTGCTATCTGAAGCACTGCTCTTCTCTTGGAGGTTTTCATTCTCATTCAGATCCAGCGACTTTTCTGAGGACCGGCTTCTGATTAGATTAAGAAGTTTTCTTTCTGAAGCCAGAAAAGGGCTCCTCTTGTCTGGCTTCTCATTTTGGGATTCTTCCTATTCAGACCCCAAAGGAAACAATAATGAGCATATGGTATAACTGACCTTAATAAGCTTTAAATGTATATATTTGTATATGTATATACATATAGTCACATGTCAAGCAAAGCAAACAAGCTAGCTGTTCAAATTCCGTTTGCCCTTAACACTGGATTTCAAATCCCACTGCTTCTAGCCAGTCATTCTGATGTAAAGTTATGGAGCTCCCAGGAGATATTTTGCTGAATGGAAACTTTACCTAAAAATCAGTGCCTAATTGCTATTCTTATGAACGTAACCTTTCAATAATGAAATAATGTATCGTCATTTGATACAGCCAGAAGCCTCAAAAGATAGGTGCCTTATATATAAAAATCTGGGCCCACAAGTGCCATAACCTAGGCACACAAATCGCACATATTTCTTGATATTGTGCACACAAACCTGCCAACTCTGTGCAAGACGACCAAAATGTACAAACAGTAAGGATAATGGTGGTTCTAAAGTTCAGTCATGCTAGATAAGAACCAGATTCAACAGTTGGTCTCCATGCAAACTACACATCATCTGCAATGGGGCAACAGTGCAGGCCGGGAAGACCATTTTAAGCTACTGGGAGGACTGTTTTAGGCTGGACATAAGGAAAAGCTTATTTTCTGTCCGAGTCCCCAGGGCCTGGAATAGACTCCTGCCAGAGGTGGTGCAAGCACCTACCTTGGACACTTTCAAGAAGCACTTGGATGCCTATCTTGCTGGGATCATTTGACCCCAGCTGACTTCCTGCCCCTTCGGCAGGGGGCTGGACCTGATGATCTTGCAAGGTCCCTTCAAGCCCTAATGTCTATGAAATCTATGAAACAGCTGTGGATCAAGAGTCATAATGTGGCCCTAAATGCTGTAATCCTGGCTACACTTAATGAGATAGAAATCTCTCCACTAAAAGATTTTTGCTCATCTCCCCTGACAATGAACTAGGAGATGATTCAGAAGCAATTAAGAATTAATCTGAATGATCATCCCTGCTTTCCTGTAGCACTAGGCTATTTATTCCTTGAAGATCTTCTACCACAATGAAGGCCTGAGCCTTGTTTGAGATACTTGAAATATAAAAAGGTGGATGACTGAAGAGTCTAAGAGCTATCACTGAATTTCTGACTCTCAACAAGAAGAGGCAAGGTTTTTCTAAGGCCAAAGTAAATGGAAGACTTCTTTGGAGGAGACTATTATACTCTAGTAGTGAAAATGAGACAACCAATGAGCCCAGTGCTAGACAAACACAGAAACTATGACTAGGCCTCATAGCTGTCTGTGGTACACACTTACAAAGGGCAACATAGGACCCAGCACCTTTCAAATGTGATAGCTGCCAGGATCTCTCATGACTTTTGGAGGAAGGCTATAGATTTGAAGAATAGGGAGGAGCTAAAGCTAATTCATGTCTTTTCTGTGGGCTAGCTTGATAAGACTTTGGGAGGATGGAGGGAGGTGGTGGGGTGGGGAGATATCAGGCTTCTCGCCACTTTCCCCCCCACTTCAGTCAAGCCTGCCTGCACAGGCTCCTGCTGGGTGTCACAGCCCCTGAGCTGCACAGAGCCCCATGCTTTCTTCCATGGTGGTAGTGTCCCCCGGGACTTCCCAGGCCAGAAGCCAGTGAGCAAGTGCTGCCACTGCAGAGAGAAGCCCTCTCCGCACGGGAGAGGCAGGTAAGCTCCAGCGACCTGTGCACTATCTCCTCCACTTGAGACCACCCGGGAACAGCTGGCTTGCCCTTGGGGCAGAGCCGCAAGGCAGTAGGAGGGCAGCTGGGTGTGCTGGGAGGCAGGAGGTGGTGGTGGGAACAGTGCATGGGGTGGTGGGAACCTGCCAAGCCCAAGCTTCCCCAAGCACATTAGCTTCCACAGCCCTTGCACCATAGCAAACTAACACACCTCGAATAGGTTTTACCTTGCTATGTAACAGTCATTTAAAGTGGAATATGCTGCCAAGCATGTAAAAGGCAATGCCATTAAAGCGGTGCAAAAGGGCAATTAAGCTGCTTTAAAGGCCAATTTTGCTGTGTGTACAAAGGGCCCTTAAATCAACAAGCATCACACCGCCTAGAAGAAAGCCCTTTAAAGATGTATTGGACCATCTGAGATAGTATTTACGCATGTATGACATGAACCTTTTAAACTAAGGTTGTTTCTTCCCTTCAGCTTTTTTTTCTTTTCTTTTCTTCTCACGCACACACTAAAAGGAAAAAGTCTCCTCTTTTGCTAAAAATAATAATTTTAAGAAGTAGGGGGAACATAAAAGTAGTTCCCCAAGTCATCGTACACCTCTAACAGCAAAGTGGGCACTGATTTTCACAAGCTCTGCCCTACAACCTTTCCTCATTTTGTTTGTGTTTAATAAAGTCCAGGAGTGGGAATCTGTTTAGGGAATTTTTGTGAGTACTTAAAATAAACAAGCAAACAAAATAAAAAGGTCATTTTGCACCAATTTCTAGAGACCGGGAAATTTTAAAGCAGTTTAGTGCTTTAAGAAGTACACTGGTGGGTTTGGGTTTTTTTAAATATAAAAAATTGAACAAACAAACAAACAAACAAACAATACTTTTTAAAGCACTAAACTGCTTTAAAATTTCCCGGTCTCTAGAACTTGGTGCAAAATGACCATATATCTATCTATATATCTATGTCTATCTATAATCCATTTAATACAGGATATGGAATTTATTTAATGTATATATTAAAGGAAGTGCATATTTCATCAATCTACATATATAGATTGATGATATATGCACTTCCTTTAAGAACAACATTATGAAAATGAATTCCTAGTTTTTCTAAGCAGCCATTGTAAAATATTACTAGGGTATACAAAAGTCCTAGAAATACTTTTGACAAAGAAATTGAAATGGATGGTTATTCAGGAGCCTGACAAGTACCATTTGCTGTATTCTAACATTGGCAAAAAAGAAAGATCAATTGGGTTAGTCTTACAGCAGTTTACATGACAATTATTTCTTTCTGGAATCTTTTGTCAACTGCCTTAATAGAAGCAAGTTACACTTTCCCAACCATCTCCCCATCTTCACCCTCAGCAGTGCTAAGTGGCAGTATCCTGATTCTGTATGACTACTGAATGATTGATTACTGAATAAACTGTTATGATAACATACTTGAAGGATGCATTTAGGATTTAAAAAAAAAAGACACACACCAAATACACTTGCATCAAGCAGGAAATGCCACTTGGAATGACAGAAGCAAACATCATTCTAGTCCAGGGTATAAACTTGGTACAATAGACAGATGTCAAGGCAAAGTGGCACCTTATAGACTAACTCATTCAGAGAGGCCCGAGCTTTCATTGGCTACAAGTAGGATGTCACCTATGAAAACTCATGCCTCTGTGAACAAGTTAGTTTATAAAAGGTGCCACCCTCCCCTGCCTTCTGCCTCACTTCAGACTAAACACAGCTAACCATCTCTGTTGTGGTTCAAAGACGACAGTTACATTCTTGGCAAATATGACCTACAAAAAGGAAGGGAGAGATTGGGGTGATACCCTTTGTTTTTCTTCTCTAGGAGGAATAAAGGAGGCATGAAGTCTCCCTTTTCCCTTCTTCCCTCAAGTTACAAGGGTAACTGTATGAAATTCCATATCCTGTATTAAATAGAGTAAATAATTTAATGGTGTTTTCTGGCCTGAAAATAAAAATCTATTTAACCTCAGAATTATCAAACCTCTCAACTGCAAAAACAGGCAAACTTCTTGGATGACCCAAATTGTGCATTGGGAACTAAATGAAAACTGCTTCCTATCTAGATTAATCAAAGTTTCACTACTTCAGTGGCAGTGATGATAAAAGCCAACCAAGTTCCCCCTTTATCCATAGGTTCTGCCAAAACGGATACAACTTGAATTTCTAGGAACTAACCCAAGCAGAATTCCAATGCTATTATTTTTAAAAGAGCTTTAAACTACACTTTATACATCAGCAAATGGAATAAGACCTTTCTCCTCCTCGCCCTCACCTATCTTCTGTATATCACCTTGAAATCACTCAATCAGGTTTTAGGACTTTACTCATACATCTTGTGTTAGCAATACTCTTAACACCTACTGTAATTTTTCTATTCCTTCTGTAGCCCCAGCATACAGAAGTTCTGTCATTTAGTTATTTATACATGTTACATTTATATTTCTGAATGCAGCTTTCAGAGATAAAAGAAAAAAGTTATACAATAATGAAGCCCCTCAGATTCATAGTCAAACATCAGAGAGCTCTGATGTTATGAAATACTTCAACAAACATGCAACTGGGGATGCAATTGGTGATGACATGCAATAACTATAATGACGCTCTCAGGTAAAATTTTTGAAGGGCACTGCCATGGACAAAGCTGTACCTTTTACCCCTCTCAGATCTTTGGAGTGTGGACGCAAAGCCTGTCCCCTGAAAGGGGGCACTCAATCAGGGTAGAATTGGATTTGTCATCAGCAAGAGACTTCCCTTTGGGAGCTGTGACCCCACAACATAGAACAGCCTCTTCTACATATTTATCCATAGTAAGACAGGAATCAGAGAAAGGGTTAAACCAACAAAGAAACCTCCACACATTCCTAAAGCTTTGATAGAGTAAACCTAGATACCCCACAACTGTAGTTGTGGATGGGCAGATTCTCCCCTCCCTGTCATCCCCACCCACTAGCGCAAAGGTTTTTAAACTCTTCCAAAATTCTTATTTATTACCCACATTTGGAATCCCTCCCTTTGCTCCCTTCCCTCCAACCATCTGGTGAGCGCACGTGCATGTAAAGTTAAAAGGAACTGACACCTACATTGTTAAGTACCAGAGATTAGCTATCTTAAGGCATTGACTTTTCATTCCTGCAAGGCCTCCTTATCCATTAGCCAACACCACAGTAAACTGAGAGTTACATAATAAATAGTCCTGAAGAATATTACAGATAACCCCAATATTCTTTACTGGAAACAAGAAACGAGGTGCCAAGCTTCAGTGACTTTTAGTGAGAGATGCATAACTACTATTTCAGGGATCTGTTTGTATAACCATGTTGCTTTGAGACCAGAAGGAATACAAAACTAAAACTCTTGGTTCAAAGATGATACCTTTTATTAGACCAACTAGAAAACAGCAAAAAAATGCTATTTTCTAGTTGGTCTAATAACAGGTATCACCTCTAAATCAAAAGTTTTAGAGTTGTGTATTAACTGCTGTTTTTGCTTCGAAAATCTGCTTTCTGGCATCTGTTATATGGGACAGGCTTTCAAGCCAGGACCAATCAAAGCAATGTTTTTTTTATTTGTATTACAGTAGCACCCAAGAGTTCTGGTTCTTGTGCTAGGCATTGTACAAATACAACAAATGTTGCTACTACTCTATTTCCCTTTCCCATCAACTCATTAAATTCACTCATCCTAATGAGTAACATGAGCACTTTATTCATTTTCGCTTCTCTTGATGAACTAGAAAAGACTCCATCTTGATTACCTGCTCAGTATGCTTTCCTCGATTTGTTTCCTCTGTCTGAATTTCTAAAATTGAAAATAAAAGGGTTTCCCCCCCCGCTACAATGGCCTGGACTAACCTCATTAAATGTGAGATTCAGAACGAAGCTCCTTTTAACAACCTAGGATAACTGCAAAGGGATAGCATGAGCATAAACTATAATTGGAAAAAAATATCATAGGAGAGCAGGTAGGAATGTAAGGTATGAAACACAGAATAAGCTTTATACTTGTAGCTCAAGATGCTTTACAAAGGTGGACAAATGCAATTATGATCATTTTAGAGATGGGGGAACTCAAGATGCAACGTGCCCAAGGTCAGGCAATGAACTAATGGAAGAACAGGCATTGATCCCCTATGGTCTATGCCAATAATAAATAAAAGGTTTTGCTGACCTGCAAGCAATTCATTTCTCATAAGCAGTAATGAACAGAAGGGCAGAACTCCTAAAATGTTTAACAGTTAAAAGCAATCCTTGAACTGTTCACTTAGCTTTCTAGACAGTCTTTCCCCTCACGTCCTCTTGAGAAGCAATCCCCAGACACATACAATCCATATACACGTATTTAGTACATATGAGGAAAAACGATGTACATAATTACCCCCGGCAACACATTTCCATTTTGTGGCTCAACCTCTATTGGTTGTGTGACAGGTTCTCGAGTGGGGCCGATTGCTTTGGGTAATTTTTCATCCTTTTCCCCAGAATCATCACACACACTGGATCTGTCCAACCCAAAAAAATAAAAGAGGAGAATTAATTTATTTCAGTTTCTCAGCCTTACTTAGTTTAGATTTACTGAATTTAAAAAATGTATTAATCAAAACACATCATCCACAAAACACATTCCAACCATAAACTGAATTGCCATATACAAATTCAAGCTTAATCTTTCCATTCATTAGGTCAAACTACCTCCTCACTAGCCTTTCACTATTTCTAGGAAAAAAACCCCAAATAAAAACAAACAAACAAAAAACAATCAACTAATCAATCCAAGCTCTGGCAAATCAAAGAGAAAATTAAGGTTGGGGGGGTTTCGAGGAATGTTAGTAGTATAGGCTTATAATGGAAAGATTTAAGTTGTTTTAGAGATGAGTGTCCCTTGTCAGAGTATTTTTCAGATCATATAAGGACATATAAAAGAAAGCATGCTTTAAAACTGGCACCGAATAGGATAATTTGATATATACTTCCCCCACTGCTTTGATTAAAAGTAACAGCACTAAGTGCTAGAGCAGTAGATCTGTTCTGAGTTTATGTTTATGTAAGTGCATGTGCAAGCAAAATTTAAAGCCACCTTGTTTGCAGTACAATGTGGACCATTAACAAATTAGCTCAAAGTCGTATCAAGTCAGCCAAAAAACTATCAGAACCAGCAAGGGATGTTGACAGGTCTGCTGCCTAAGCTGAATAAATTACTAGAAGACAAAGCAAGTGTTAAGAACACCTATAAAACAAAGCAGATGTTTTCATATTTACATTTTTTTTTTAACTATTAAAATATTTCAGTCTCAACAACTGGAGGTTTCACCTTGGGCATTGTAAAGAGATGTTGAGTCGATACTATCATTTTGCTCTCCCCATACTGCACAGTGGAACTGGGGAATGGGGAAAATCTTTCATGAACAAGGCTGAGATCTGTGTGTCAATAAGTGATGTGGTGATAGGGGAGGGGAAGGGGAAGGGAGTGTTATCTTGGTTTTAAATATGCAATTTCTAAATTATTTTACCTGAACCAATCCAGGAAGAGGAGTGGAAATGCAAAATTTGCTCCTCTCTCTCCTCATGAAGGGGCCTCAGCTGTGATTCATCTACAATACTGTGTGAGGGCAAATCAAGTTTTTGCCTACTCACTCAGCCTCTATGCTAAGACTATTAGAAAGGATACAAAATTTGTCAATTATGGTGGCAGGTTTGAGGAAAGATTCTGAAGGCAAGTACTTCATGGAAGTAGCGTATTACATCCATAAGAGCATTTTCTTACCGAGATGGCCCATTATCTTCAGATGACGAGTGAAAGCTCTCCATCTCCTCAGTGTTCAGGCCCAGCTCAGAGCCATAGCTCTGGTGGACCAGCTGCCAGAATTCCTGCTTTGTTAGTCTCTGAAAAAAGATAAAACATTACTAAAAATCAGTCAAAAATGGCAGTGATGAGCCAGCTCTTTTACATAGCCACAAGCACACTTCATGATAACAAATCTGGAAGCAACACTATTTGCTATGAATGCAAGTGAGATAGCATTTGGCCCTCACCTCTGAAGTTGCTAGCCCCCTGGGAAATGCAAAAAATCTTTGCTTTTGTGTATGAAGAGGTAACCTTCTAGCCAAGGTCAGTGTAAGCCTAAGTCAAGGAGATCTAGGGAAGAAAAATCGCCACTCATTTTTCCTTCAAGATCACAAAATGATTTGCTTCCTTCTCCTTGCCCCACCTATGGACTCAGAGTTTGATCTCTGGGGGCCCCATAAAAACTGTGCAGACATTTCATAGACATTAGGGCTGGAAGGGACCTCGGAAGTTCATCGAGCCTAGCCCCCCGCCCGAAGGGCAAGAAGTCAGCTGGGGTCATAGGATCCCAGCAAGATAAGCATCCAATTTACTCTTGAAGGTATTCAATGTAGGTGCTTGAACCACCTCTGGTGGCAGGCTGTTCCAGACCTTGGGGGCTCGGACAGCAAAGAAATTCTTCCTTATGTCCAGCCTGAAACAGTCTTGGAGGAGTTTGTGACCATTTGACCTCGTCATCCCTTGGGGCGCTCTGGTGAACAAATGTTTCCCCCAGATACTGGTGATCACCCCTGATAAACTTATACGTGGCCATCAGATCACCCCTGAGCCTGCGGTTTTCCAGGCTAAAGAGCCCCATAGCTCTCAGCCTGTTGTCATTAGTAGCGTATTACATCCATAAGAGCATTTTCTTACCGAGATGGCCCATTATCTTCAGATGACGAGTGAAAGCTCTCCATCTCCTCAGTGTTCAGGCCCAGCTCAGAGCCATAGCTCTGGTGGACCAGCTGCCAGAATTCCTGCTTTGTTAGTCTCTGAAAAAAGATAAAACATTACTAAAAATCAGTCAAAAATGGCAGTGATGAGCCAGCTCTTTTACATAGCCACAAGCACACTTCATGATAACAAATCTGGAAGCAACACTATTTGCTATGAATGCAAGTGAGATAGCATTTGGCCCTCACCTCTGAAGTTGCTAGCCCCCTGGGAAATGCAAAAAATCTTTGCTTTTGTGTATGAAGAGGTAACCTTCTAGCCAAGGTCAGTGTAAGCCTAAGTCAAGGAGATCTAGGGAAGAAAAATCGCCACTCATTTTTCCTTCAAGATCACAAAATGATTTGCTTCCTTCTCCTTGCCCCACCTATGGACTCAGAGTTTGATCTCTGGGGGCCCCATAAAAACTGTGCAGACATTTCATAGACATTAGGGCTGGAAGGGACCTCGGAAGTTCATCGAGCCTAGCCCCCCGCCCGAAGGGCAAGAAGTCAGCTGGGGTCATAGGATCCCAGCAAGATAAGCATCCAATTTACTCTTGAAGGTATTCAATGTAGGTGCTTGAACCACCTCTGGTGGCAGGCTGTTCCAGACCTTGGGGGCTCGGACAGCAAAGAAATTCTTCCTTATGTCCAGCCTGAAACAGTCTTGGAGGAGTTTGTGACCATTTGACCTCGTCATCCCTTGGGGCGCTCTGGTGAACAAATGTTTCCCCCAGATACTGGTGATCACCCCTGATAAACTTATACGTGGCCATCAGATCACCCCTGAGCCTGCGGTTTTCCAGGCTAAAGAGCCCCATAGCTCTCAGCCTGTTGTCATTAGGTCTGTTTTCCTGACCTCTGATAATGCGCGCGACTCTCCTCTGGAGTCTCTCAAGCTTCTCCACATCCTTTTTGAACTGTGGGGCCCAAAGCTGGACGCAGTACTCCAGCTGCGGCCTCACCAAGGCCAAGTACAACGGGAGAATGACGTCCCGGGATCTGCTTGAGAAGCGTCTATGGATGCAAGCCAGCGTTTTTGTCACTTTACTAGACATAGGACCCTTGACTTTTCTCTGCAGCTTTTTAGTAAGTGTTGAATCATCCAGGCTGTCACTGTGGACAGCAGGGTACCAAAAGCTCCTTCCTAGCCATCTGCCTGCAGCAAAGCTTGCTTGATTAGCCAAGGTGAACTATAAGCAGAAGACAGTCTATAAGGTATCACCCCACCTTGCTATCTCGTTCAGAGAGGCATAAGCTTTCATATGCTACAGTCACAAGTTTAGACAATTCAGCAGCACAAGAGAGAGTGGTCCAGTTAGCAACTAAGACAAAGAACAAGGGACCTCTGCATCCAAATGACAGGTCAATACAGACCACCTATGAGCCACAACCAAGTCAATTTTTTTCTGTGCCTCAGTTTCCCCATCTAGAAAATGAAGATGCTCACACTTACCTACTTCACAAGGGAAGATGCAAGTAGGAAGCAATGACTAACTATGGAAGCACTGTAGGAGCTAGACTTCCTTCCATCATACACACAAACCCAGTTTATTTGGACAACTGCCCCTTTTACATGTGAACATTTGTTTATATTATACATACAAGCACATGCATTTAAAGTTGCATTCGTGCTGGTAACTTGTGTGCTCATGCTGTACTAAATGGAGCATGACAAATGGCTTCCCCTGATTCTAGGAATTGCTGGTTGTACCACAGGCCCTGTGTAGCCCCTATTGTTTCAGGCATGGTACAAGAACAAATTAAGAGACTGCCTGCATCCAAAAGTTTCCAGTCTAATCAAATGCAGACTATCAGTAACAAAGAAATCACACAGTTCTTTATACAGTATTATTACCACTAGTTAGAAAAATGGATCTGACCCCTCTCTATTGTGGACGCTGCTAAAAACCCCCACAATGCACACTGCTGGAAGCATGCTCAGCAAAATGACATGTTCTAGAGAGTTATTTGATAACTCCTTCAATTCTTAGGCTGGCTTTGGGTACAGAGGTGTGATCAAGGTGAATGGGAGAATGGTAAAAAATGGTTTCATTAATCCACCTGAGGCTCTTCTGATCTCTTTCGTACACCGCAGCACCTTAATGAGAGTTGCCTACAGTGCCCATGCCTCCTCTATCCCAGGGAAACAAAACACTTCCCTCACGTTTCAAACACCTCCTCCCACAAACACTTTTACTGTGCATCCCCTCAGTCTCTACTATTTGTAAGTAGCTATATTTGTTTCTGGTAGCTTTCACAGTGCACTGGGTACCAAGTCAAAGGACCCACAGCCCTGACCAATGCTGGCCACTGTGTACTAACAAGGTAATGCCTGCATAAGTTGTTGGTGGCAAATCCCCTTGTACTGGATGATGAGGAGTTCTTCCAGGCAGGGACTTTCCCCTTGCTATATATTTGTACAGCACAAGGCCTCCATAATAGAGCTCTAAGTCTCTGGCTGTTATTGCAATATTAATAAAACACTGAGACCAAGGAAGGTACCTCAAGTTAAACATTTCAGAAGCATTTAATGCAGCTACAGAATGCAAGTATCTACCCTCAAGTTTGAAACTAGCACTTGGGAAATTTCTGCTCCATGTTCTATCAAAACACTGTTAGCACACCCAGCTAATTGCAAATAAAAAAGCCAATTTAAAACAGTTTAAAAAGCAATTAATGTATTAGCATCCACATTCATCTCCCTTCACTCATCACTGATGTTCCCCTTGATTTCCTCAAGGCAGAAGGACCTCTCAGCAACTCTCCTGAGGTCCCAATGGACATTGCACTAGACTAGGAGTTAGACATGGACTCTTTCCTGGACTCTGCCAGACAGGTCACTTAAGTTCAGCACCTCAGTTTCCCCACTTATGTAAATGTTTTGAGCTGTAAAGCACTGGATCTGTGTCCCTAATAGTATCCGGTCCCCGATATCGCCAGAAGCAAGGTGCTGGAATGGAGGGACACTGATAGGAGGCAGTAATGCAATTAGACAAATACAAAATATTAGAGTTAGGGTGGGAACAGAGGCTTTACATTTTGGGAACAGGCTCAGATCTCTTAAAAACCCTGCAGCCTGTTTCTCGCTTTTTTTTTTTTTTTTTTTTTTTTTAAAGCAAAAAGTGCCCCTCACCACCCCCTAATCAAACTAATACTTCAAACAACTCAAGTCCTCTCTGACATTCGAGAGCATTAAGAAAGTAAAAGGATTAGGACATGTAAACCAGTATCTGCAATGTAAACAATTGATTTCAAAGTCCTTTTGCCTTGCTGGAAAGGGCTTAAAGAACAAGAAAGAGCTAAGGATTTAATGAATGTGAAAGAAAAAAATGACACGGATGATTTCTAAAGAAACTTACTGCACTGGAAAACATGCATCAGCCACAATTCATACAGATGGAGGGAACTGAACTTCCCTAATGAAATAGTAACACAAGACCAACTTACTGTTTACACAAACTGATCCCATTAAATAACCATGCATTATTTAAATACATTTTAAAAAACCCTGCTGTCTTACTTATGCAAATGGTAGAACTGTATTATACTAACAGCAACTTAAACACATAAGAGGTAACACAAGCACATATATAAGTGGATATACACACCACACACATGCATGCATTTTGGCTTTTCTTGAATACATTTCTTATGCCACATGATTTCAGCCAATGCACAACGTATTTTGAGCTCCAACTATTTAAAGCTATTAGCAGGTTTCTTACTATGGAAGACTGGCCTTTGATCACATTCACTCTGTCTTAGTTATCTCCAACCCTGTTTGGTGACAGTGATGAGAACTCCTCTTCTACTCAGCCAACTTCATACTGATGCTCAGGAAACTGCCCACATCCTCAGGGAAGAGAGACAGCACTGTGGGCTTCCAGGGCTGCAGAAGCCATCCTGTCAGAAGCACATCATTTCACCTTAAGGGGATTAATCATCTTTTCAGAGAGCCAAGAGAGCCACAGGCTGAGTTGACAGGCGATTCCAATCAGAAGAATGATTCCCAAGTAGTCCACTTTGGCTCTAGCCAAGACCAAAAGCCCCTCAAGTCCTCACCATGGAAAGTCCATTACGTAGTAGCAAAATTCCTGGGGTTAAAACAGACAGCTTGGTTTGTTGGTTACTGAACTAAACTGTCTGGTTGAGGACGAGCTCTCCTGCCGTTTCAAAATTGCTTCTCTAAACCTGCTTCTCTGACTTCCTGCTTGGCAGTATCAGAGCCGGTCACAAGTGGGCTGGTCTGCCTGTTGAACTGGTAGTTGTACTCAGCTCCCAACCAGTTTCTAGGCCGCTCCCACTCAGGAAAAGCTCAGGTAAGCAGGATTCATTAAACAGACACAGCTTGGGTTTCCTACGAGACGACATATCAAGCTACTGTTTAAAGTTCCTTTACAGCATGGGACAGCTGGAGACAAACAACTCCTTCCCCTGTTTAAAAAAGGCCACAATTTTAAAGTATGAAGACATTAGAGAATACTTTTAATGTTAACACACACGATGCCTCAGGGGGAGTGACTTCAGAAGGGGCTACTTTTGCCACTAATTGCTGCACCGAGAGCAGGTTAAGCCACTGCTTATGGCAACAGGAGAAGCTTCTTTTTAAAATGACATTCCTCCACTGCCTAGAGATCCCTTATCAGGAGTCCTCATTAACCCCCTCACTGCCGTCAGTCCGTGCACACAGGCAGGAAATCTTAAACAAAAAGCAGGACACATAAGTATGTCTAACCCCACAAGAAGAGTGAGCATCCTCCATGTGCCTCATCCCCTTCACCTGTTCAGAGCTAAATTACATCTCTTATCTGTACATTCAGAAACCGATTATCTGAATCTTGAGAAAAGCACACCATTTTCCTACTGCACACTATTTCCCTGCTGTATATAGGAACACCACTACCTTACAGTACATATCCAGATTTAGGTTGTATGCAGGATTTTTCATCCCTATGTGGCATAACTGGGATGAAGCCAATTCTACTAACAACTTTCAATATTATATAACTGTATATTATAGAATTAAATTAGTGATGTACTGTGATTTTTATTCTTAT